ACTAGGGGATAGGTTATTCTTCTCTACACTAAGAGGTACATAACAGGTAAACATATACTGTTAACGCATCCAGAAATTTGGCAAAATTACTTTTTCTTTTTCCTTTCCAGTACATTTCATCCTCCTACTTACTCTTCTAGTGAAATCATGACTTGGAATGCGTGACATCCCAATAACAGACAAAAGTATGCAATGTCAGTAATAAAAATGATATAAGCAACACAACCAAGGAGAAGAAACTGAGTAGAATAACAAGTCAAATATTAATTACCTTGAAAAAGTTAAGCTGAAAAGTAAAGCAACTGGAGTAATTTAACAGCTAGATCAGGGTCCATGTCCAAAAAAGATGTTTCAGTATTTCCTTATAAGACTGAAACAACATTCTTCAGCACTTGTCATCAAATACTCTTTCAAAATAAGAAAATACTCCTAAAAGTAAGAAAAAAATGAAAATGGAAACTTATATATGCTGTGTGCATCACTAATGAAAGACACATTTTATTTTTTTTCTTGATATTACAGAAGTGAATAATGACCCTTCTTTGCCAAAAGTACTTTGCATATATACATATATATATATATTTAATCATAAACTTCAACTTTACCAGACTCATTAAACAACTTCAATTTTATTGCATGCAGGATACGTGAAAAAAAAAAAAAAAAATCAATATATGACTTTATCAAACAGATTTACCACTTCTGATGTAAAACATGTTACATAAACCACAGGATGAGAAAAGCTTTCATAATATCAGGTTGAATAAAATAAAATAAAATAAAATAAAATAAAATAAAATAAAATAATAAAATAAAATAAAATAAAATAAAATAAAATGATAAGATAAGATAAGATAAGATAAGATAAGATAAGATAAGATAAGATAAAATGCTTTACTTGGCAAAATGATTTATTGTTGATTATCTTGTTAAAGTTCAACAGCACAGGCTGTTAGATTCTGGGTCCCAGTTCAGACTGGGGAGTCGAATTATTTACCCCGTCTAAGCATATGCATGGAGCTTCATCTTCAATAAGGTTGCCTTCCAACAGAAAGAAGTCTGTTCGGAGTACTCAGGTTCTAAATCATCTCAAATTTTGAAGTTCTTTTTACAAGATTGCGTTTAGTGTCATTTTGTTTAATTCTCAAGAAAATATAGTGAATTTTAGCTCATTCAGCTGCTTGTTATAGCCTGCACTGAAAATGTTTAGCAGTCAAAGAGTACAAGACAGATAATATTGTAGACCCTTGATATTTCAGCCTCTTATTATTTAGGGCTTTCAAGCTGCTGCTTAATGAAATCTGACATCTGTTGATATGATGAAGATGGGAAATGCCAATTTTCAAACAGCTGTGCTTGTATTTTGCTGAAACTTACTGTATAGTTATTCATTCTCACTGTAGATTTGTGCAAATCATGCCTCTTATTAGCTCCTTCTGCTCTTCTATACATCAATTTTTACAGGCAGTACAGTTGTGTTAGAATTCCTCAGGCAGACATATCCTCCCATATCTTTATGCTCCCTAGAGAGACTTCATTTCAATAGCAACTAGGAAACGATTAAGAATTTCAGTTATATCTAAGCACCCAAATGTTTCCCTCTTCTTCCTTTAAGATGAAGAACTTGAAGCTCTCCTTGGCATTTCCATTAACTTCAACCTCTGGCAGTAGAATGAAGCACATCAGTCATCTCCATTATGTTCTCCATATATTTACTTCTGAAAATGAAATTAGATTTCTGGGACATTAGGGACTGCTATTGCACTTTTCTACAGCATAGAGCAGAAATCCACATTCTAACAAATTTAGCTGTGGTGTGGATTTCTAATACCTGCATGTTAAAGCAAGTGATCTAACATAAATTGTTACTGTTATACAAGCCAGGAAAATTGCTGCCAAGTGATCTTGTAAGTTTTCTTAGAAGGTGAAGTGAAAGCTTATTTGACTATAAAGGACTCACTTCATAGACACAGGTTTTTCATCACCTTCCACTGCAGATAAAGTTTTGAGCTCTTGAAGATGCAGGGCCTCAGAGAAGATCCAATTGATTTCTTTCTAATCCTCTGTAATGTTACACAGTCTACTTACCTCCTCCCACAGTTCTTTGACTTGATAGTACAGCCGCTCAGCAACTAACCACCTCCTGCAGACAAAAAGTTCACATTCTCCAGCCTCAGTAAGTGGTCACATTCAATCCCTACAGCATGAGACCTGTGGAGCTGCATTGTCTTTCCAAAGCCCCATCTAGGTCCAAGATCCTAGTAGTAAAGGAAAAGCTACTGCAGTGCTGTCTGGGGACCATGCCCAATGACCACTAAATCTAAGGATGCATGTGCCAGGGAGAGAAAGTTTTCAGACTTCTTCTGTATAAACTGCTACATTTGTTGACTGAATGCTTGGTCCGTCTCTTATATAGACCACTTCCCAGCACAGACTAAAAGGGAGGCTTTGACATTCCCTAATCAGGGTTCAGCTAGTACAAAGACTGTAGACATCTTTTAGTGAAGGACAGCTGACAGAGTTTGTCAGAAGTTGCTAGAACTACTCTTTATCCTTAGCCTTACCTGTCAGCAGCAGGCAACCTCACCTTCCTCTTGAGGGTTCCCAGGTGTTCACAGATCTCTGACAAAGTGCCCCAAACCTCAAGAAGAAATCAAAGAAGAGCCCAGAAACTGATTTGAAAACTGCTGCATCTGTTGGTTTCCTCTGTTTAGTTGTGCTTTGGACCTGGTGGGTCTAAATACAGTGAAAGTTTAAAAAAAAACAAAACAAGCAAACAAGCATATTCTGCAACATACAGTCAGAACTCGTCTGTTTAACTAATGAAAACTCAAGTCAAGTTTTCTGAAAAGTGTCCATGCTAGTGAAGGCCAGATTTCAAGTGAATGTGTAACTAATTCTGAATGAATCATTAGCAATTTATATATTTGCAGTAGAAATCAGGACATAACACCCTGTAAGAGTGAAATAGATTGTGGATTAGACTTCTGAGACATTTCAGAATCTTTCTACTAACCTCTGTAGTCTTTGGACCGAGTCCCAAAATCTCTGAGTTTCATCAGCGTTAGTATTAGATTTGCAATATTCAAACATATTCAGACTTTTGTTCCATTGATTTTAGATATATTTGAGCTATATGTAGATGTGGTGAAGTAGAACAGCTCCAGACCAAATTCCTGCAGGTTAAATGTTCAGAACTATAATTTAAATTCACACTAAAGATGGTAAATTTCATTACACAAAGATGTTGCATAATTGGAGCTCCTGTTATTGAGAGGAGATATAAAACTAATGTCATACATTAAGTGGCAAAGGGCCAGTGGTCATGCTTGAATAAGAAATAATTCAAAGTATATATAATATTAATGGTTTTGTGTGACTGCAAGAGTCACTCCATTCACAGATATGTAATTTATACAGTATTTTCCAAAGTGCTTTGATTTGCACTGAATGGTATAAATACCTTTATATGCCAACATAATAGAAACTTTCATGGAGAGTATTTATTTTTGAATTATCAGGACCTTTAAATGCCCTCTGAATGCCAGCCTCTGTGATGTACTGAAGATGAGAATGTACCCCTCATTAATTATTTTTCCCTCAAAGATGATGTGCTTTGTTACCTGAGCTATGCAGACCCAATATATTTTTGTTTTTTTATGTGCCTACTTTTTAGACTGAACATATGCCTTCCTATAACATTGATGTATTTTGGATGATTTGTGCCTTCTCAATTACTGATTCTTTCTCCCTCATTTGGACAGTCAGAACTGTAAAGACTTCTTTGATCAATATAAAGTCAGCCACCTACTGAAGCATCAACACTCATAATCTGATATTGAAAAAAGCACTTGACACTGCCTGGCTCAGGAAGACCTGGATGGAGGACTGACCACATATTGTGACTATTATGAGCTACTCAATAAAAATAACCTCTCTTTTGCACTTGCAAAGAAGGTAAATAAATAAATAAAATCAGAAAATTTACTTGACAAATGAATCTATGGATAAGATCAGTATGGTATTGCTTCTAACACAAAAAGAATTCACTAAGACTCCTGTGGATTCTGGAGCTGATGGAATTGTCTGATATAGAAAATAACTGTATTACTCTTTTATATTAACTAGTATTTATTTTTAATTTGGGTAAAATCTGAAGTATTTGGTTATACTTCTTTATTGTTTCCTTTGGTATTTGTGACTTCATAGTCTTCCAGGAAACCTAAAAAACAACTGTTTCAGAAACATTTCTAGAGAAGTTTGAGTTCACCTGGATTCTCTTCTATCTACTATCTTCTCTGTGTTCAATATACTATCAACTTAATCTCTTAAAAGCAGAGAGGTTAACTGTTACTTTTTCACAGTCTATTCACAAATGTATCTCTCTTTATTTGTCCAGTCTTGCAATCAAAATATCTCATGCTTTCTCTGAAGTGTCTTAACAAATGTCTGACGCAACGGATTTGTGTGTTCCTTGCACTAGCTGTTCCTTCACCTCCTCTTCACATACAAGGACACGCGTCTCTTTCACGCTCCTTCAGGAGTAAACAAGCCAGGAGAGATTAAAGCCTCTTTCTTCAGGTCAGTAAGATCCCTGCCTTTGGTTTCAGTGAGAATTCAGGCCCTAAAAACTCAAGTGTCTTCTGGACGGTGTTTCTTCTGGTAGGATGATTTCATTTCTCTTTTGAAGGCTTACGGGGATGTAGTAGCAAAAGCAAAGGCATAAAACGGTACCTGAGGCACAGGCTACTTTTCAGCCTGCAGCAGACTACAGGTATGATATCATCCTTTGATATCATACCTGTATCATGTTATCATATCAAGAAACGTAGAAAACTGCCCGTTGCTTCTCGGGTTTAAAGTTTTCCCTTAAAAGGTGTATGCAAAGGTGTAATCAGCTGTCTGAGTACAATTCTCACGTATACATGAGCATTTTCCTCTCCCCTTCCCAACTTGGAGTGCAACACTTTTCATCATACTGTTATAAATTCCGAGTCCACTTAGCTTTATGAGATTTATTTATGGGGTTAATAGAAGGCAAGTAAAGAGCGCTGGGTGCGCGAGGAGTCTGGGCTCCTCCAACACGCACACACGTTACATCAGGCGGCAGCTTTTTCTGCTCCTAGGCTAATACATGTTCATTACTACTTCTAGAAAAGGCAGTGTTATTATAATTAGTTCCCGGATTCCGAACCCTCCCACTGGCACATGCATATCAGTCCCCAGTGGTCCCTCTGGGGGTCTCTCGTGCTGAAGGCTCATAGTCTTCCTCCCAGGCTTTGTCCTTGTCCTTCTCCTTTGTCCATCTTGGCTGGATATCAGGCTTGCCTCTAACTCTATACAAAAAAGAGAGAGAAGCACACCTTTCTACTCTGTCAGCTACTGGCAGACCTAGAGAGAAAAAAAAAAAAAAAAGTTAATTAAAAAGAAATGTTGTTTTAAGGCATTTCACCAAATATGTTAATATTTGGTAGAAACCAGACAACAAATGAAAGGGAAGACGAAACAGTAGAAGGTACTTGCATGACCTTAATTTACATGGCAATGGACAACAACGACAATCTGCAATGATTCAGAAGTGCCTTACCCTTGAGACAGAAAACTGGGATTCCCATATGATGTAAGGGGAGTGCAGTCCCTCTCAAAATACAAGAGCCTGGGGGACGCTACTGAGTACTGAAAATGTTAAGGCTAGGCAGCACCGAACTCAACAGAGAAGGGAGGCCGAGTCTCCCTGGCTGTTCACGTAACAGACAAGAGCCTCAGCTTTTAGCCCTAAGCAACGATTCGTAGTGCCAGGCGGGGAACTAGTTCTTCTTAAGCCAGGGACCATTTCAGCATCTTTAAAGTTACAGAAAAGCTTGAAGGCTCTGTGGAATCATGTTCCTGGCGCAAAAATCTGGGGACCAGGACTGGCAAGTGGGGCGCAAGTGTGCTGGGGAGCAAGCTCTCTGGGCTGATTACCAGGGCTTTAAACTAGGTTTGATGGGGGAAGGGAGGGGAGCTAAAGGTGACAGAGAAGGGCTGGGGGAAGTCCTCACTACTGTTATAAATGGCTCAGTCTTCAAAATAGGACTATAATCAAAGTTTACAATTTATTAAAGGAATAGAGGTAAGCAAACAGTGCTGGGCGCGCCGGGAATCTCTGCTCCACCAAGACGCACACCAGTTACATCAAGCAGCTGATTTTTATGCTCCTAGGCTAACACATATTCATTACTGCTTCTAAAAAAACACACAGGGTTATTATAATTAGTTTCCAGAATCCAAACCCTCCTACTGGAGCATGCGTAACAGTCTCTGGTGGTCCCTCTGGGGGTCTCTCATGCTGAAGGCTCATAGTCTTCCTCCCTCTGGTCCTTCTCCTTTGTCCAGCTTGGCTGTAAGAGACTTGTGCAGCATCCCCTGCAAGCTTTGTCTTTTAGTCATTCTTCAGCTTTCCCCGTCTCCTTAGTCTCCTGGCCAGATACCAGAGACTTGCATAGTGTCCCATACAATAGTCATAATAGCTAGCAGCTATTCTGAACCCCCCCAGATATCAGAGACTTCAAGTAAAAGCCTACAAATACATTTCCCTTCAAGCTCTCTATTGACACAAATTGCTAAAACATTCCTTTGCAAGGTACAAGAACTACATACATGTACATTAACCACTCTGTTTTTCTTAGACTTGTGCTTATAGAAGGGTCTGTAGGACAGAAGGTCACATTCATCATACCATGCAGCCCTAGCATTGTTCCATACTGCCACGGATCAAATGAACACATTTCACACCACTGTCACTGTTGAAGACAGGGAAAAACTTCTGAGCTCTCCCATGGGATTGTCTGAGGGCTCCTCAGAGAAGGTAGCGTTCCCAATCCCCCCGTCCAGTATCTTCGTCTTGAAACGCCCCGGGGTAACTGTACCTGCTGCTTCCCTAAAGTGCCTGTGCACGGAGCGTGGGAAATAAACAGGATGAGCTCAAGGTCTGCGTTCGGACACGGGGCCACGATCTTGTTGCAATCACTGAGATGTGGTGGGACAGCTCACATGACTGGAACCCAATCATGGAGGGCTACGTCCTCTTTAGGAGAGACAGGCTGGGGAAGTGAGGGGGTGGGGTTGCCCTTATGTGAGGGAGCAATTAGTGTGTACCCAGCTCCAGCTGGGGGAGGGTGATTGACAGGTGGAGAGCTTGTGGGTAAGAATTAAGGAGTGGGCTGGTATGGGAGACATGGTGGTGGGGATCTACTACAGGTCTCCAGATCAGGAGGAGGAAGTCGACGAGGCCTTCTCTGAGCAGCTGCTAGTAGCCTCACAATCACGAGCACTGATCCACATGGGGGACTTCAATTACCCAGACATCTGCTGGGTAAGCAATTCGAACAAGCATGAGCAGTCCAAATGGTTCCTACAATGGGTTGAGGACAACCTTCTGATGGATCTGGGAAACTGCAGGTCAGTCTCACCTGTGTCCCTGGAAAGGTTGGGGACCAGGAACTGGGGACCAGGAACTGGGGACCAGGAACTGGGGACCAGGAACTGGGGACCAGGAACTGGGGACCAGGAACTGGGGACCAGGAACTGGGGACCAGGAACTGGGGACCAGGAACTGGGGACCAGGAACTGGGACCAGGAACTGGGGACCAGGAACTGGGGACCAGGAACTGGGGACCAGGAACTGGGGACCAGGAACTGGGACCAGGAACTGGGGACCAGGAACTGGGGACCAGGAACTGGGGACCAGGAACTGGGGACCAGGAACTGGGGACCAGGAACTGGGGACCAGGAACCTGGGGACCAGGAACTGGGGACCAGGAACTGGGACCAGGAACTGGGGACCAGGAACTGGGGACCAGGAACTGGGGACCAGGAACTGGGGACCAGGAACTGGGGACCAGGAACTGGGGACCAGAACTGGGGACCAGGAACTAGGGGGACCAGGAACTGGGGACCAGGAACTGGGGACCAGGAACTGGGGACCAGGAACTGGGGACCAGGAACTGGGGACCAGGAACTGGGGACCAGAACTGGGGACCAGGAACTGGGGACCAGGAACTGGGGACCCAGGAGAACTGGGGACCAGGAACTGGGGACCAGGAACTGGGGACCAGGAACTGGGGACCAGGAACTGGGACCGAACTGGGGACCAGGAACTGGGGACCAGGAACTGGGGACCAGGAACTGGGGACCAGGAACTGGGGACCAGGAACTGGGGACCAGGAACTGGGGACACAGGAACTGGGGACCAGGAACTGGGGACCAGGAAACTGGGGACCAGGAACTGGGGACCAGGAACTGGGACCAGGAACTGGGGACCAGGAACTGGGGACCAGGAACTGGGACCAGGAACTGGGGACCAGGAACTGGGGACCAGGAACTGGGGACCAGGAACTGGGGACCAGGAACTGGGGACCAGGAACTGGGGACCAGGAACTGGGGACCAGGAACTGGGGACCAGGAACTGGGGACCAGGAACTGGGGACCAGGAACTGGGGACCAGGAACTGGGGACCAGGAACTGGGACCAGGAACTGGGGACCAGGAACTGGGGACCAGGAACTGGGGACCAGGAACTGGGGACCAGGAACTGGGGACCAGGAACTGGGGACCGGAAACTGGGACCATGGAACTGGGGACCAGGAACTGGGGACCAGGACTGGGGACCAGGAACTGGGGACCAGGAACTGGGGACCAGGAACTGGGGACAGGAACTGGGGACCAGGAACTGGGGACCAGGAACTGGGGACCAGGAACTGGGGACCAGGAACTGGGGACCAGGAACTGGGGACCAGGAACTGGGGACCAGGAACTGGGGACCAGGAACTGGGGACCAGGAACTGGGGACCAGGAACTGGGGACCAGGAACTGGGGACCAGGAACTGGGGACCAGGAACTGGGACCAGGAACTGGGGACCAGAACTGGGACCAGGAACTGGGGACCAGGAACTGGGGACCAGGAACTGGGGACCAGGAACTGGGGACCAGGAACTGGGGACCAGGAACTGGGGACCAGAAACTGGGGACCAGGAACTGGGGACCAGGAACTGGGGACCAGGAACTGGGGACCAGGAACTGGGGACCAGGAACTGGGGACCAGGAACTGGGGACCAGGAACTGGGGACCAGGAACTGGGGACCAGGAACTGGGGACCAGGAACTGGGGACCAGGAACTGGGGACCAGGAACTGGGGACCAGGACCTGGGGACCAGGAACTGGGGACCAGGAACTGGGGACCAGGAACTGGGGACCAAGGAACTGGGGACCAGGAACGGGGACCAGGAACTGGGGAACCAGGAACTGGGGACCAGGAACTGGGGACCAGGAACTGGGGACCAGGAACTGGGGACCAGGAACTGGGGACCAGGAACTGGGGACCAGGAACTGGGGACCAGGAACTGGGGACCAGGAACTGGGGACCAGGACTGGGGACCAGGAACTGGGACCAGGAACTGGGGACCAGGAACTGGGGACCAGGAACTGGGGACCAGGAACTGGGGACCAGGAACTGGGGACCAGGAACTGGGGACCAGGAACTGGGGACCAGGAACTGGGGACCAGGAACTGGGGACCAGGAAACTGGGGACCAGGAACTGGGGACCAGGAACTGGGGACCAGGAACTGGGGACCAGGAACTGGGGACCAGGAACTGGGGACCAGGAACTGGGGACCAGGAACTGGGGACCAGGAACTGGGGACCAGGAACTGGGGACCAGGAACTGGGGACCAGGAACTGGGACCAGGAACTGGGGACCAGGAACTGGGGACCAGGAACTGGGGACCAGGAACTGGGGACCAGGAACTGGGGACCAGGAACTGGGGACCAGGAACTGGGGACCAGGAACTGGGGACCAGGAACTGGGGACCAGGAACTGGGGACCAGGAACTGGGGACCAGGAACTGGGGACCAGGAACTGGTGGGACCAGGAACTGGGACCAGGAACTGGGGACCAGGAACTGGGGACCAGGAACTGGGGACCAGGAACTGGGGACCAGGAACTGGGGACCAGGAACTGGGGACCAGGAACTGGGGACCAGGAACTGGGGACCAGGAACTGGGGACCAGGAACTGGGGACCCAGGAACTGGGGACCAGGAACTGGGGACACAGGAACTGGGGACCAGGACTGGGGACCAGGAACTGGGGACCAGGAACTGGGAGACCAGGAACTGGGGACCAGGAACTGGGGACCAGGAACTGGGGACCAGGAACTGGGACCAGGAACCTGGGACCAGGCAACTGGGGACCAGGAACTGGTGGGACCAGGAACTGGGGACCAGGAACTGGGGGACCAGGACTGGGGAACAAGGAACTGGGGACAGGAACTGGGGAATGGGACCAGGAACTGGGGCCAGGAACTGGGGACCAGGAACTGGGGACCAGGAACTGGGGACCAGGAACTGGGGGGACCAGGAACTGGGGACCAGGAAACTGGGGACCAGGAACTGGGGACCAGGAACTGGGGACCTAGGAACGTGGGGACCAGGACCTGGGGACCAGAACTGGGGACCAGGAACTGGGGACCAGGAAACTGGGGACCAGGAACTGGGGACCAGGAACTGGGACCAGAACTGGGGGCCAGGAATCTGGGGACCATGAACTGGGGACCAGGAACTGGGGACCAGGAACTGGGGGAACACGGAACTGGGGACCAGGACTGGGGACCAGGAACTGGGGACCATGAACTAGGGGGACCAGGAACTGGGGGACCAGGAACTGGGGACCAGGAACTGGGGGGACCAGTAACTGGGGACCAGGAACGGGGACCAGGAACTGGGGACCAGGAACTGGGGACCAGGAACTGGGGACCAGGAACTGGGGACCAGGACACTGGGGACCAGGAAACTGGGGACCAGGGAACTGGGGACCAGGAACGGGGACCAGGAACTGGGGACCAGGAAACGGGGACCCGGAACTTGGGGACCAGGAACTGTGGTGACCAGGAACTGGTGGACCAGAACTGGGACCAGAACTGGGGACCAGGAACTGGGGACCAGGAACTGGGGACCAGGACACTGGGGGACCAGGAACTGGGGACCAGGAACTGGGGACCCCAGGAACTGGGACCAGGAACTGGGGACCACGGAAACTGGGGACCAGGAACTGGGGACCAGGAACTGGGGACCAGGAACTGGGGACCAGGAACTGGGGACCAGGAACTGGGGACCAGGAACTGGGGACCAGGAACTGGGGACCAGGAACTGGGGACCAGGAACTGGGGACCAGGAACTGGGGACCAGGAACTGGGGACCAGGAACTGGGGACCAGGAACTGGGGACCAGGAACTGGGGACCAGGAACTGGGGACCAGGAACTGGGGACCAGGAACTGGGACCAGGAACTGGGGACCAGGAACTGGGGACCAGGAACTGGGGACCAGGAACTGGGGACCAGGAACTGGGGACCAGGAACTGGGGACCAGGAACTGGGGACCAGGAACTGGGACCAGGAACTGGGACCAGGAACTGGGGACCAGGAACTGGGGACCAGGAACTGGGACCAGGAACTGGGGACCAGGAACTGGGGACCAGGAACTGGGGACCAGGAACTGGGGACCAGGAACTGGGGACCAGGAACTGGGGACCAGGAACTGGGGACCAGGAACTGGGGACCAGGAACTGGGGACCAGGAACTGGGGACCAGGAACTGGGACCAGGAACTGGGGACCAGGAACTGGGGACCAGGAACTGGGGACCAGGAACTGGGGACCAGGAACTGGGGACCAGGAACTGGGGACCAGGAACTGGGGACCAGGAACTGGGGACCAGGAACTGGGACCAGGAACTGGGGACCAGGAACTGGGGACCAGGACTGGGGACCAGGAACTGGGGACCAGGAACTGGGGACCAGGAACTGGGGACCAGGAACTGGGGACCAGGAACGGGACCAGAACTGGGGACCAGGAACTGGGGACCAGGAACTGGGGACCAGGAACTGGGGACCAGGAACTGGGGACCAGGAACTGGGGACCAGGAACTGGGGACCAGGAACTGGGGACCAGGAACTGGGGACCAGGAACTGGGGACCAGGAACTGGGGACCAGGAACTGGGGACCAGGAACTGGGGACCAGGAACTGGGGACCAGGAACTGGGGACCAGGAACTGGGGACCAGGAACTGGGGACCAGGAACTGGGGACCAGGAACTGGGGACCAGGAACTGGGGACCAGGAAC